AGAGGGGACTTGAGGAGCGAGCCATTCCGTGAGCGCAGCCCTGGAGCTGCCTTGCCGGATTTAGCCGGGCGTGTTTTTCGTTTGGAGCTCAGCAGCCTCAGCGAAGAGGTAGCGGCTCTGGGCTAAGCATCAGGGCGGCCTTCAGACTCCGCATCTCCCGCCCCGCGCACCAGCGTGTGCGTGCCCGTGCACCAGGAGGGGGCTGCTGGCACTTCCCTGTGCACAACTGCCCCCGCCTCTGCTCGCCACCCTCTCCTAGGCAGCTAAGAAATGGTCCTCAGCCTCTTCTGGGCCCGTGCCGCGCGGAGCTGGGGGCGGAGGGCAGAGAAAGGGGTTGGCAAGGAAGGGGCGCCGGAGGCCGCGGTTACGGCTTCCCAGTCCTGCCCTTGGCCGCCAAGGCTGCCGTTTCTTCTTTTCACCTCGCAGCCCTAGCTTTGTTTTCCTGGCATGCTCGTGGCCACCGAGCCCCACGCCTGCATGGGAGTATGTGCGTGTGCGCGGGGCGTGGGGGGAGTGGGGAGGGCGCGCGCGCGCGCGCGGAGAGCGGGGACCCTCCCGCCAAGGACACGCCTGGCAGTCTGTCCTCCGGCTGCACTTGGCGGGAAAGCTGGGGGCCGCCGGCGGGGCTGCACTTCCGCAGCTCTCATTACCGCCTCCCCTCTCCCCCCAGGCAGCATTTACATACGGGCCGCTCGTCTGAATTTTTACAGCCCTCCCCTCCTTTTCGCCACCGGTCGCACGCGCGCAGGCTCGGAACAAGCGCCCGCGCGCGCAGACACCCGTGCCCAGGCTGCGGCTGGCCCGAGCGCGAACAGGCCCAGGGGTGCAATACGCCCTCGGCGAGACAGATTCTTACACCCTCCCCCTCGCGCCTACACCCCCGACAGCCTTCCGGATCGTGTTCCAGGAAGCTCACCTTCCCCTCCAGGCCCCCACCCTCCTCTCACTGCACATTCCCACCCACACCCTCCCACATCTCTGTCTGTTTCCCTGGAACACACACACACACACACACACACACACACACACACACGCTTTTTCTTCTTCCCCCTCAAACAGATAATCCCTATGGCGCGTCCCTGGTACCCTTTGAATAGCTCTGGAGTTTCGAGAATAAAAATCCTTATAATGTATTGCTTGTCTCTAGCCAAACACATTTAACGACCACAACAAAAAGAAGAGGAGGAGTGAGGAAGGGGGACTTGAACCAAAAGACCTTTCTTTTTCTAAAAAAAGTCTGCAAGTCAAAAGGTCATTTTCCAAGTTTGTAAATAAAATTGCAAAGGGAGTCCTTTAAAAGAAAGAGGAAAAAAGGGAAGGGAGGTAGAAAAGATCCACAAGTTACATAAAATGGTGCATTGGAAAAACAGGACAGGGCTATTCTTTAAAAAAAAAAAAAAGAGTGTCTAAAGGAATCAAGAAGAAAAAACTGGAGGAAAAAAGAAAAAGAGGGAGAAGAAAATAAAAGGTAGAAAAGGCAAAAGAAGTTTCCAAAGAAATGTGTGCTTTGCATCCTACAATGGGAAAATGTAGCCATTGCCCTTCTTCAGACGAGACATTTCTAATTTGTTCCGTCTGTCAGGAGGGGACTATGAGAGGTTTGGGTGCAAATTCATTATCTCTGGCAACGCAGAACGTAGTGTGGGGACTGAAAAAGACCGTGGCAATGGATGAACAATAGGGCTTCAGTTCATCAGTAACAAAAGCAGTGGGGAAATTGGTTGAGTTTCAGAGCACGTCCTCCTCGGCAGAGGGGGCTGGACTAGACCTTGGACAGCCCCCCCAAAAACTTGCCGAGCCTCGCACACACCACTTCACTCTCCACTCCGAGGCTCAGGGAGCAAGTGCCTGGCATGGGGGGGAAAAGTTGGCTTTTTTTCCTTCTTTCATCTTTTGCGCCCTTCTCTCTCCCCAAAAGGGAAGATATGTTGAAACTATTTTAGACCCAATCAAGCAAGAATCACCGTGTGGAATCGAGCGGCAGTTTTAAATGTGCTAAAGAGAGGGATGATCTGGGGGAAAAAAATTTTTTGTCTTTTTTTTTGAGACGCGGAAAGGAGCCTGTTTGCGTACTGCGGCCGCCCTGTGACTCTGGATCTTGTCTTCTGGCCGGCGCCTCGATTCCTGCCCAATTGGATTCGGGGGCACCACTGCTTAGCGCAGGGAAAACAAGTGAGTATCGTGGCGGCCCGCAGGCGGCAACTCAGCCGGCGGCGCGGGGCCATCACTACCCGGCTGTAGCCCCGCGCCGGCGCTCCTCGCCTCGCCACGAGCTGGTGCCAGCAGAGCCCCGCTGCGGGCCGCTCCGAGGGCCAGTCCCGGTTTTGCTTCAGCTAATTGATCGTGTGTCTCGGATACTTAAACCTGTTGATCTCATGAGTTGTCTGAACCAGGACTGTTAATTATCCAGCGGCTGACCCCCAATTGCAGAGAGAAACCAGGAAAATTTCGTGCTCGAAAGGGGAATTTTTGTATGTAATTTTGCATTGTTGGTGATGAGACTTTTCCCTCTTAAACCTAGAGCCAAATACGGTTGTAGTTTGAATTCCTGGATTCAGGATTCGCATTTAGAATAATTCTTTTAACAACCTCAAAGTTGCAATTACCTGGCAATGATGTGAGGATACGATTGGATTCTGGTGGAAACTTATGTACAGTAGCTAACTAGACCTGGTGAATTTCCACTTCCTTTTTCTCTTTGCTTTTTGGATTCTGGAAGGCGAGAGGCCCCTTTACAGGGTTATCCCAAGTTCAGATTAATCAAAATGCAACCATCACGGTTAGTTATTAGGACTTGGAGCTTCTGGTGTCCTAGACTAGCCGGGTCTTTGTGGTTTGCTTAGAGCCTAGACCCGGCTGAGGGACGCAAGACCTTCCTTCCTTGGCCTGGAATTGTCTGAGGGAACCTGGGGCATTGGGAACCCAGGCAATGTATATGCATTAGAGTCTGCTGCGTTTTCTCTTGCAAATATACCCGTGGTGCTTGAATGGAAGACTGTCTTGGGGGGTCAGGGCAGCAGTGGAATTGTCAGAAGTTAGACCGGAGGCTCTGTCAAATCATGGCCACGGCCGGGGCTCTTTTGGTGCTGTGGCTGCTTTGGGCCCAGAATAGCGGGATCGGATCTAGTTTCCTCCCTCTCCTGATGCCCACCTCTGCTCGCCACCCTCTTTCCACATCTTGGTACCAGTAATTAAGGCTCTGTCTCGAGAAACAAACTCCTATAGTAGCATAACTGAACCAGTGCAGTACTTTCATTTTGCAAAACCAATAGCCCCACCCTACTACTCCAAAATAACAATAAGCATTTAAAAAAATCATAAAATAAAAGCAACCTATTTTCAGGAGTGTAAGACTTCTTGAATATTGAGTCATGGGGGGATAGGGAAGGGAATTTAAAAATCCACCACTTTACAGCAATCAGGTTTTACATTATTCATTGATTTACTGGAGGAAATAGCCAATCAGGAGCCATAGATGCGAATGCACATCTCACCGTGCTGTGGCCTTACAGTAAACTATTTGCATCTTTCTAATGGATTAGGTATTTATCCAGGGATTCCCATTGTTTGAAAGGCCTGGAAATTCAGCCCCTCAAACATTAGAATAAACGACTTTGTTCCAGTCTTAAAATTCTTACATGGAAGAACTCTCCCTCCTCTTTTGTATGGCATGTTAGAGTGTTCAAATTCCTAATTTTTGTTAAGTCCCTCTTCTTTCCAAGCTAAAAATAAAAGAAGAAAAAAATTAATTTTCAAACCCCTCCAGATTCTGCATATTTTGCATTCCCATTATCATGTGTGTCTCTATTTAAATGTAAATTAGCATATTTAACCCTCTAGGTGCTGAGGCCCAGGACACATTAATCTGGGTTTCCTGGAATCTCTTGGCATTTTAAAGGACCATTGTAATTGTAATATTTTTAATGAAGTCAAATCTTAACATGATTTTATATTAAATATATAAATTTGTTTTCTTACTGTTTTTCAGATGAGTCTACAAAGAAACATAAAATGAATAGACAATCGAACCAACTAAAGGTAATTTTAAAATATACATTTGATAAAATCGAAGTGATGTACAAAATCTAAATAGGATATTATTTACTGAGTGGCAGGCCTGCAGTGTATTGCCTATCTCCCAGTTCATGCAATAGATAAAATTCCAGAGAAATCTAAGTTTTCATATGTGCATTTTTTCCCGTAGATAGCCTTTATATGTTATGTATGATGGATAATGTAACATAACCTGTAGCTGCCTATAAAAAATAAATTTGGGACACAGAAGAAATAATAGGATGCTTTTATCAGAAAAGTAAGCCAATCAAGTACCTTGCCTGAACTATACAAATCACAGTAAATTAAAAGGCTTTTATATAGAAAATGGTAGTCTTGACTGTATTAGTGGACTGTGGTTTACATGCATGAGAATCATACACACCCAATATTAAAAAGCATTTTGGTGATAGGCCAATTCTTTATATACTCTGCAGTAGTCTAAATAGGATTCAGAGAGGTATTCTAAATATTAGTGGCAAATCTGATGTATCTGCATTTATGGAATAGCGTAATTCTGATCCAACTATGTGGAAAATGATAACTTTTCACTTTTAACTTAAGCAGAGATTGTTTATTCCCAAGAAAACCAGAATGTTTCAATTCATGTTTCAGCCATCTGGAGACCTATAAAAAGATTAGAAAACAAGCATGACAATCACGTTCTAATCTACTGGCCATTAATGGGAATTTATTAGAGAACGAGTAGGCAAGCCATTTGAATTCAGTATATCCTTCAATATGCAGATTTCAAAAAGAGTATTCCGTAGTAGTTCAGCCAAACAGCTTTTTGAAAAGCAAAAATATCTGGAATAAGAACATGTAGGTGTTAATAGTTACTCCTAACAATGTAAGGCACACATTGCTAGGTATCTTTAGAGCACAATTGTTTCAACTTGTCTCACATCGTAGATAATAATACAGTCCTTGTATATGATAAACCATGATATGAACCTTGGCAATATTCAAAATAATCAGGTGCGCAGTGGTAAACCTTGCTATATATCTTTATTTCTCCATACCTTGAAAGATGATGGAGAGATAAAATATTTAATTGACTATATAGTTAATGAACAGACTGCTCATAATCATTATGTTGGCTATTTTCACTCTTAGGGGCTTTTCTAATGAATCTACAGTATATGTGACAGGCATGGGGGCCAGTCCTGGAGTCAGTTGACATGACTGTGGCATTGCCTTAAACGATGCTGTTTTAAGACAGTATCTTCTATAGCTTCTAATTGTAGAAGCATCTCAAATGTTCAGTGTCTTGGCTTTCATGATAGTTATTTGGGTTCTAAAATGCATTTAATTGTTAAATGTGGAAATATAGCCACATTAATTTGCAAATTCACACAAATATGGGTATGATACACACATAGACATCCATGCATCCATGCATCACATCTGTCTACTTTCACCAACCCCTCCCAGACATATATAATGCAAAAAAGATTCTAAAAATATCTGGCATATCTTGGAGGTTTCGACTTAAGGAATTGAATTCATCCGATCATATGCTTGCTTTATATAGTACATGACAATTCACTAATGATTCTGCTTCTAGGTCTCAAGGCCAAAATACTCTCAATCTTCTAAGGTAGATTAGGGTTATATAATGTCATACGTGGCATGTACCTCAGTGATGTGTTCAATTCTTATCCAGTAGTTTTATGTTGTGACCTCATAGTTCAAGAAGGTACAGTAACTCTATAGCACATATTTCTCTGAATTAATTTGTATTTTGCATGAATATATATATACACACACATATATATATTCATGTATATATATGTGTGTGTGTATATATACATATAAATGTGTGTGTGTGTATATATACACACACACACATATATATACATGAATATATATATGTGTGTGTATATATATTTCCCAGTGTAGCCATTTCTGATTGCACTTCTATATTTAAATTCAATAAGAAAAACGGATAAATAATTTCCAGATCACAGTCTTTTATCAATAATCAGGAAAGAATGCTCACCCAAAAAGTAAATTAATAAAATATCTAGAGAAAAGTTGGCATCTGTGTTACTAAATTATCCTGTAATTGGTGTAGTATTGTTTTTACTCTTGTTGGGGTCTTTTCTTAGCAATTCAAGTTTTCTTTACTTGTCAGTGTTTTCAATAGCGTTTACATATGTGTGCTCTGTGTGTAATTTGGTAAGCATATTCACACTCATGTCTTAAATGAATAAATTACTGAATCAATGAAAGAATGTATATTAATTCTGAAAGTGTTTTAGTCATTGGGGAAAATAGTTAACGTATAGAAATAAGAGTATTGTGATAAACTTGTCATGTGTGAAATGAATATGAATACTTATGACATTCGCTTGTAGCATATATTTTAAAGAATAGTAACACCATCGCACATAACTCATAATTTTGGAAAACAAACCATAAAGTTCACCCATGGCGAATATGCATCTTATGTAGGCTGCACCTTACATAGTCTGTTGAGGAGCCTTGGAGTATTAGAACTGTACATATTATAGATGCATTAGACATAGATTACTCGTCATGAAGGGGAGAGAAGAAAAGAGCTCTTATAAATGATCATATTCATACTTTGAAAAGTCCTAAGGAAAAGAATGAGGCAAATTAATTAATGAAACAATATTTCCCTCTAGATTGAAGGGTGGGGGTGGGGAAGGGGAAGGTGAGGGTAGAGTAATGCTCTTAACATCCAGGTGTTTTATCTGTCTTTTTCATGAGGTACCAATATTTTTTTTTCATAATTTCATAAGAAAGACTAGTAAATTTTGACCTTCTGTATGAAAATTGATGTTTGAAACTATAGGTAAAGGCTCAGCATTTTTATTATAGCAGAGTTGTGTACAACATTAGAAACTATTGCTGCAATGTTTTCCTGTGCTTCATTCTAAGGCACACATCCTATAGAATCGTTTTTTAAACACCAGAATGAAGTCAGCTTGCTTAGAGCATTCATTTTGAACTTACAGAACAAAATATGCTGCCCTATCGCCATGGTACACAGATAGAAAACATGCCTGAGCTGTGAAGCCATTAAAAACACACTACCAGAGCAAATTGTCAATGTAATCACACATCAACTCACTGCGTAATACAGAACTGATTCCCAGCCCCAGAAAGCAAGGCCCTGCTTTAAGCAATAGCAAAGTGCCTTCTATCTGTCTGCCCATGCAATCTGCCAGAAGAGAAATTCAGGCAAAGACGTTTTCCAGATCTGAAATCCTTTTATCTGTCCTTAGAGAGAGATTTCTTCCAGTCTTTGGATATTAGAGCGATCTACACTAGCACCAAGGAGGTAAAAGGCCGCGGGTTGCTTTTCCAGGAGCAGTCGGTAATGCTAGCAGCAGAGATGTTGATTGAGAAAATAGGGTTTGTTGCAATGCAGCCGGTGCTGCCGTTGCCGATGCTCGGGCAGTAGGCGTGGGGCAGTCGACTGATCACTGATGCATATCAATAACCATGTACTTGAGATTTCTCATGACATCATCATTACCTTGGTCTCCGGCGGTCTCGAACCTTTGACCTTGATGGGCTGGTCCGCATTTTGGCAGTGAAAGCCTCTCCAATGATGGCCCTTTTCTCCTTCTTTCAGACCGGGGGCAGCAGCACGCCAGCAAGACGGCATCTTCTTCTCCCCAGCCTAGAAGCCCTGTGAAAATCGAGGATCTTCCCCCTAAAACACACACACACAAGATATGTGCAATCAAGCTGCCACCGCTTGGTTAAAAGCTCATGGTGCCTAACCCAAAAGGATCAGAAGCAGGTCCTTGAATCAGCTGTCACCTCTATAGAATGGGATGGTTTTTTTTTTCTTCCTCCTTAACCTGCGCTGGAAATTGCCGTTGGCTTTATACATCTCTATAGAGAGAGGCTAAAGAGTGTTGCGTGAGAATGAAGCAATTTACAATGCAAATAGAGGCCTCCGAAGGGACGAATGCTGCTGCTCACTCTTAACCGCTGGCTGCACCTTAATAGCTGGTTTTATTTTCTGATATTAATAGATGAATTGTTGGCTAACGCTGCCGGAGATTACTTGCTGAAAGGAAAATAAAAGTTCGGAGTAAACTTTGAAAGCAACAGATCCCGTTTGGATATTTTAGCCGCACACGCAAACAGAAACCAGGTCACATTTACATAAAAGGAGGAATCTTAAGCGCGGCCAGTGTCCTAGAGGACTACTCTTCGGTACTGCCAGAAACAACGGGATCCGGATTCTGGTCAGAGGAGAACAGAGACGTGTGAGGGAAGCGAGTTGTTATCTTTGGTTATCTAGCTGTATGAGTGTATTGGTCTTCATAAAGCTAGATAACCGAAAGTAAAAACTCCTTCAAGATCGCCGGGGAGCGTGTGAGAATGAGACTACAACCAAGAGACAGTAAAAACCAGAAAGGTCAGGAATACTTATTGAATCTAACTTTGTTTTTGTTTTTGTTTTCCTTATGATTAAAGGTGGTGTTAGAGGAAATTAAGTGACATACATATGCCAAAATACAAAGATACGAAATACTTGGAGAGGGGTTGCTACAGCTGCAAAGGAGAATTGTATACTGCTAATGAGTAAAGAGGCATGTGAAGTTCATCTTCCTCTAAGGCAAAAGTTTAAATATGAGGGTTATTTTTCTTAGAAAGCTGTTGTAGAGATGACTGGTACCTAGTTTAAAAAATGATTCCATAATATGTAGGCTTAGGCTGTTTTGAGATCCCTCCCCTGAGAAAATTTAAGATAATGCTTGGAAACTACATATATTTGGGGTGTATGTCAAATTATGTGAAATTAGACTTTCAGAAAAGTTTATACTGGAAGGTTAATAATTCGTATCTACTGAGGACATAGAGCTAGCAGGGGAAATGCAAAAACAAAACAAAACAAAAAGCAAAGGCTGATTTTTATTCTTCTATTCAAAATACAAGGACAGATGCTTCTCTGTTCCAAGAGGGTTTCCTTGAGGAAGCTACTGAAGCAGAAAGACATGATGGAGACGAGATCGCCTCCCCTCTTGTCAAAGTGTTAAAAAAATGTTCTGTCTTACTCTGCGCCTAGCATTGGAAATGAAAGTGACATTTACGCCACAACCCACGTGTGCGCCTCCTCTCTTTTTGTTTAAGGATGATCAGGTCTATCCAGGAAACAGCTCTGGCATCCCAAACTGAAATAATTAGGACGTATATAGACCTGACAAAAATGGAAAGGGGGTGGGGAATCTGAGGGTCTGTCTTGCCTAATTGATTCCGCTAAACGGAATGCAGGAGATGTGAACGGCAGGACGCTCCGATTCCCACGCTCGAGGGCAAGTGGTAAAGCGGGCCGGCAGCCTATGACAGACAGCCCTGTTGGGGGGTGGGAGTATGAAAAAAACATCAAGTGCACACACCATACTCATCTCCATCGCTTAAGAAAGTAGAGGCATTTCCCACCCACAGCCATCTGCAGCCTCCCAAATGAGAGCACCAACTGGTCTATAGCTGCTGCACACTGTCTGTTTCTGTTAATTTTATAACCGCTGTTTAATCTGGCCACAGTTAAGTTTGGCTCCCTTCTTTGGTTGCGATTTTCAGTATTTAAGGAAAGCTGCTAAAAAGCAGTTCGAAGAAAGTCCCATTACTGCCTACTCCTCATGTCAAATTCTCAGTCCATACTTTTGGCCTGTGACCACCTTTTAGCTTTTGTTTTGGGTGAGTTATAATTAAAAATGTAGATTTCTGTATAACAGTCATTACCATCACTTCATCAAGCTGTTTACCTCTTAACATAATATATCTAGGAACTTGGCCTAATTATGCTAGTAGACACACCGAAGTAAAACTCTAAATTCATCAATCTATAGAAAGTTGATTACAGTAACAATATGATAAAAGGTTTTGATATAGTCCCAGCTAGATGTGTTCTAAACAGCCATTTTTATTTAATCTAGAAGTGACTATGCTTAGCAGAAACTTTGGCTCTTTAAAGGTCCCTATAGTAAGCTTTTCATAAAAGTCCTCACATTTTCCCACGTGTCACCAAGCAAACATTTGTACAGGCATTTAAACAAAGGCAAACATTGCAGTAGGAAAATGTCCAAAATGGCCTGTTACCTTCCATGAGGCCTAGATTACTGACGATCCCAAATCCTAAATACGCAGTTTTTCTACAAAAGCATTACTTCCGTTTGTAGCCTCATCTCTTTTTAAGACTTCAGACTGGAGAAGCCTGTAAAACCACTGATAGTTTCAGTTAGAAACTCTGAGAGACTTTATTAACGTAAATCCTCAATTTGGCTGCTGAACACGTGCCAAAGTTTTACTACTGTAGTGACCGTTGAGAAGACCCTTGTTTATTTACATTTGAAGCACTGTTTGTGCAAACAACCTTTCATTGTTAAGTGCCTGTATTCCTTTCATTTACTTCATGTCCAGGGGTGCTATTTACCTAGACCCATTGTCTACTACAATTAACATTTACATTACAAAGTGTGTGGTTTTCTTTCTCAAGGAGGTTCAATTAAGGCAATAAGATGTTTGCTGGGGAAACCTATTGTTTACTGAAAGCACTCAATGGAGTCAAATTACTGAAGCTTTTGCCTACATCTTGGTCTTTTATGTAAATATGTTAAAAATAACATCTAAGGAAAATAAATAATATTATAATTATGTGTTTGCCATTGTCACATCAACTTGCTTTGTATCATACTAATGTTACATGACTTATCGATCAATAAAAATGCATTTCAATGTTATTATTTTCATTTTATTTTTTGCTGTTCCACTGCTCTTGCTGCAACATGTCCCAATTTTTCTTTTTTCTATTATTACACATCAAACTTTTGACATTTTGTTTTATTTGTGTGTGTTTAAGAGAGGTACTGTATCTGAGCATGGGTCTGAAGGGTGTCTGAGGGAATCTCTACAATGACCTTATAATTAGGTGATATTTCTTTGAAATTTGAAATATTCCAGAGGCATGTACGTTTAAGTCAAAAGAAGTGTAAATATCAGTTAAGTAGTTCTTTGAAAGCTAGTTTTAACATTGGCAGAAACCGGATCAAGTTTATTTAGCATACCACTGCATTGTAAAACAGTTGGAGTGAAGTTGCAGGTTGCGTGAGTATGCATGTTAACTAGTGGGAACCAAGCATAGTCTTTGTGAAAGGGGAGCAGCAGATTGCTTGTGCAAGGCCAATGTTAAAAAGGCAGCTGAATTTAACACCATCTGGAAGAAAAGATCCCTTCACGACTTTCTCACACCGTCAGACAAAACTAGTGTCTCTTGTTCTGAGCCCTTGTCTATGCAACCATACAATACTGAGTCATTATACTTTTGCTGAGAGAAAATTTGAGAACACAATATGGGTAACCAGTGAATGACCAAGTTTCATTGTGCCCGCTTAAGTCGATTGAAATCTACGTCTAGAGCTATGAATGGTCGTATTGTTTTCCTCACCAGGGCTGTACTAAATGTCAGCACAGTGTAAAGAAAAACTTGAAGTCTGCAAATAACTTACCAGATCTCAATTATAATATTTTCCCACACTAGAACTAATATCATTGCGAGGGGCTACATTGCAGAAAATACAAAAAGAAAAAAAAAAAAAAAAAAAAAAAAAAAAGTTCATTTAGAAGTTATTTTATCCAAACATTTTAATTTTCTGATGGGAACTTCAATTTATGCTGCAGCCTGGGTTGAGAAGTGGAATTCATTACTGGGAAGTTCAAGTTACAAAAATGCTTCTGGTGCAATTAAAATAGAATAAAACAACAACTAGTCTCACCTGAAACCCTCCCTTCTTAAATACAAAGAGACTCTACTTGGGTTTACTGCTTTAGTGCTGCTTGGAATTATTAGTATGAATCTAGCTTCAATTTTGCTTTAAATTTTGGCAGACTGAGTGCTTTCAAAGTTTGCTACTATAATTGACCTTGCAAAGAACATCATAGATATATATTTCCAAAAATATACAGCATTCTGGCATCTCGCTAGGTGAATTTTGCTGCCCTAAGGAATACACCTCTCTTTATATTACACCCCTTCCCATTTTCTAACTTTTCTTTTCTCGTGATGTGTGTGAATCAGTTATTATGCTTAGGTTTAACATTCACATAATCTATTTGACTGTAAACAGTGAGAAAAGGGAAACAAAACAGTTCAAAAAGAGTAGAAGGAGTAGGTTGTGTATGTTTTATTAGGATGTCTATTTTAAATATAATTGACTTTGCAGTTTTGTTATTGTGTCACCAAGTGTCGCATAGTTCTTAACATGTAAGTGCAAAACAATGAGTAATTGCTGTTTTGCTGAATAATACATCTGAGTTGCCAACGTCAAAGGGATTATTTTGTGTATTTCTAAACAGGAACGTTAACTGCAGGTTTTGACATCTAGAATCTTTTCATGAAATACTTAGAAATAGGCCAATAAAATGACACCTGTAAAAGTCAATATAAAAGTATAACCAACTTATTTTCCTTGTCCTACTTTAAACCAGAAAATTAACAATGAAAAGTCACTCAATAATGGAATTATAAAGGATCTAACACAAAAATAGTCATATAGAAAATTCTAAAACAACAAAAATGGAAATTGTATAGAGGTAAAT